AATGATGCGTGCACATTTTTTTTCTTAAATGAATTGCGCTGCCATTAACCCAGCATGGTGAAGTGTTAAATCATGGCAGCCTCAGGGTAGTTTTTCCCAACAACATGGTGTCTGGACGGGTTGTTTGTACAAGTCTGTCGTCTTGAGATAGGTGAATGTGAAGTGCACCTGTGATGGTTTCCTGACTCATTTTAAAATTAAACTTCCCATCTTTTTATTTAGCGAGGGGGTGGAGCTATGATAAGGGTTGGAGGATGGTTGAGATGGGCTCATTGTCTATGAGTTGGTGGCATCTTTTGTGATTGGGGTGCATTTTTGTGCACATTCTTTAACATTTTATTGCAATTTACATCTTTTATTCAAGAGGTTTTTAAAAACTTAAAATAGAAGTTAAAGATTTAGGTTTCACTATCCATTGTGCATTTAACTCTACAAAAGAAAACAAAATAAAAAATTGAAAAAATACTGTAATGGAGAATGGAGATGCTGCTTTAATGTTCGGTAATGAATATAAGGAATTGAAAACTACCTGCTGTTACAACCTGTAAATGTCTTATAAGGTAAGAGCCTGCTGTTACAACCTGTACATATCTTATTAGGTAAGAGCCTGCTGTCACAACCTGTACATGTCTTATAAGGTAAGAGACTGCTGTTACAACCTGTACATGTCTTATAAGGTAAGAACCTACTGTTACAACCTGTACATGTCTTATAAGGTAGGAGCCTGCTGTTACAACCTGTACATATCTTATAAGGTAAGAGCCTGCTGTTACAACCTGTACATGTCTTACAAGGTAAGAACCTACTGTTACAACCTGTACATGTCTTATAAGGTAAGAGCCTACTGTTACAACCTGTACATGTCTTACAAGGTAAGAACCTACTGTTACAACCTGTACATGTCTTATAAGGTAGGAGCCTGCTGTTACAACCTGTACATATCTTATAAGGTAAGAGACTGCTGTTACAACCTGTACATGTCTTATAAGGTAAGAGACTGCTGTTACAACCTGTACATGTCTTATAAGGTAAGAACCTACTGTTACAACCTGTACATATCTTATAAGGTAAGAACCTACTGTTACAACCTGTACATATCTTATAAGGTAAGAGCCTGCTGTTACAACCTGTACATTTCTTACAAGGTAAGAGCCTACTGTTACAACCTGTACATGTCTTACAAGGTAAGAGCCTACTGTTACAACCTGTACGTATCTTATAAGGTTAGGGCCTGCTGTTACAACCTGTACATGTCTTACAAGGTTACGGCCTGCTGTTACAACTTGTGCATGTCTTACAAGGTTAGGGCCTGCTGTTACAACCGGTACATGTCTTACAAGGTTAGGGCCTGCTGTTTCATCCTGTAAATGTCTTACAAGGTTAGAGCCTACTGTTACAACCTGTACATGTCTTATAAGGTTAGAGCCTACTGTTACAACCTGTAAATGTCTTACAAGGTAAGAGCCTACTGTTACAACCTGTACGTATCTTATAAGGTTAGGGCCTGCTGTTACAACCTGTACATGTCTAACAAGGTAAGAGCCTACTGTTACAACCTGTACATATCTTATAAGGTAAGAACCTACTGTTACAACCTGTAAATGTTTTACAAGGTTAGAGTCTGCTGTTACTACCTGTACATGTCTTACAAGGTTAGGGCCTGCTGTTACAACCTGTAAATGTTTTACAAGGTAAGAGCCTGCTGTTACAACCTGTAAATGTCTTACAAGGTTAGGGCCTGCTGTTACTACCTGTAAATGTCTTACAAGGTAAGAGCCACCTGTTACAACCTGTAAATGTCTTACAAGGTAAGGGCCACCTGTTACAACCTGTAAATGTCTTACAAGGTAAGAGCCTGCTGTTACAACCTGTACATGTCTTATAAGGTTAGGGCCTGCTGTTACAACCTGTACATGTCTTATAAGGTTAGAGCCTGCTGTTACAACCTGTAAATGTCTTACAAGGTTAGAGCCTACTGTTACAACCTGTAAATATCTTACAAGGTTAGAGCCTACTGTTACAACCTGTAAATGTCTTACAAGGTAAGAGCCACCTGTTACAACCTGTACATGTCTTACAAGGTTAGAGCCTGCTGCCACAAGAAGTTTTTTACAATCTTTATGTATCAACCTTCAAAATAATTCCAGAAGAAATATCACTCCTATGCTTTTAGATGTGTCGCCATTGTCGGTGTATAATATTTTCAACAATGATATTGTGCAATGAATCAATTTGCCAAATTCAAAATTACAATGTCGGGATGGAGATTTCAAGTGTATATCAATTCTTTTGCCAACAGAAGTTATTGACACCCTTAGGCTGCAGAATAAAATCATTTGATAAGTGTTGGGTACAAACATCCTATTAACATCAGACCAAATTGGACAGTTTGAATTTAAACACCATATCATAGGAATTCATGTCAAAAGTAGAGTGACATCACCAACTCTAACTGTTGTCATGTGTTCACTATGACGAGGCGTAACAGAATCTAGGGGACAAATCACCAGAATGGGTTATTGGATACGTCTAATCTTAGGAGTTACAGCCAGGAGATCGACAGTGACTAAGTAACAAGTATTATTGCCATGCCTCGCTTAACTCGACCGTAATCATAGAGCTTTTAATGCCAACAATACATCTATGACCTTGAAGACTACCGACAAATGCGACAGGGGTTAATATACAGGGTATACCTCATTCCAGTGTTGTTGCGATAACATGTGATATTGGAACAGTTGGTCGGACATTTGTAAAACGTTTAATTCTGTTATCTTGTTTGGGATAATGAAGGCTATACAGACAGGCCCTATAGTTGTGGGCCTGTGTTCCCCCAAAGCTGAGTAAACACACGCATTGGTACCAATGTTGACACAAACACACTCGTGAAAACTAAAATTTGCTCCGTTTTGTTATCTCCTTTCAACTCTCCGCGTATAGAATCTAAACATAAAACCATTGTTTCTTAACCCGGTGTCACCAGGTACACTCTCTGAGCGTCAAATTGGATGGAAATTGTGCTCTCTGAAGATGTATGTGTGTGATGTGAACTAAAATCCTTGAATGTTGTGTGCGAGATGAATCCTGCTGTACCCAGTCTTTTAGTTTGATGTGGGAGGAAAACCCTACTACTATATTGCATATGTGATAAAAAAAAACAATCACAAAATACATGCTACAGGATAAAACCCAATTTCTCAAGTGTCATTTAGGAAGGGGGGAAAAAAACCTGTTCCCTGTGTATCATGTGGGAAGGAAATCCCATTTTTCATTTTCATCTTTCCCCATTTTCAACTTTCATCTGCGTTGAAACTCCACTCTGAATGTTACCCAGTATGTAGTCGGGGGGTTGAAACTCCACTCTGAGTGTTACCCAGTATGTAGTCAGGGGTTGAAACTTCAATTCCTGAGTGTTATGTGGGGGATGAAACTTCTCTCTGTGATTGTCATGTCGGAGGTCAAATTTCATTCCCGAGTGTCATGTGGGAGGTCGAATTTCACTCTCTGAATGTGGTGTGGAAGGTGAAACTTCCCAATTCCTCCCTTAGTGTAATTTTCAAGGTGAAACTTCTCTCTGTGAGTGTCATGTCGGAGGTCAAATTTCATTCCTGAGTGTCATGTGGGAGGTCAAATTTCACCCCCGAGTGTCATGTGGAAGGTGAAACTTCCCTCCCCAAGTGTTATGTGGGAGGTGAAACTTCACTTTCAGAGTGTAATGTGGGAGGTGAAAGTTCACATCCTGTTATGCAGAAGTGAAACTCTATTTCCCATTTTATTGCTATGTGAGAATTTTAAACTTCACTCTCTGTGTGTCCTGTAGATTAATGCTTTAATGCACTGGTACACTTCTTGACATCTATTACAACTATTAGTTTATAGTATCTTGTTGATACAATCAGCATTTCTGAATAAAATCTGATTTCTGAGAAGTGTGAGTTTTTAGTCATTATGATAAGGATAAGGGTTGGGTGAACTGTTCTCGAACATTTCGCAGGGGTAGTGCGGGTTCTGATACAAACGAGTCAACCCTTTGTTGTACTTTGTTGTAGAGGATAATCATTTAAGGACAGTGGAACTACAAAGGTCATACTACAGGTAACACAGGAGAACTCCTAGTTCTGTGTATCCCCTATAACATCACTAACTTGAGCTAGTTGAGGTGGTAACCTATAAAGAATTTAAGAATGTACCTAACATCATGTAATTCCAGCTGACAGTCAGAAGGTGATGATACAAATCAACTTAATAAGGATTATGTCATCCAGGTGAAAATACAGGTATTCTTGGTGATGAGTGGTCTGCTGCTGCTGCTGATGGCAGTTTACCGGTGCAGGCATTTGTTTACCGGGACATCTAACAATGATTCACCTGTCTAACTTAGCATCTGTATATTATTATTTATAGTCATTTTATCTACATTCAGGTACACGTCTATTGAAATTAGCACACGAGCATGGCCATGTATTAATACGCAGACACTGTATTTGCACACGCCTAAACTTTTAATTAATTACCATAGTACAAATATATGTACATAGGTAATTTATTCAAGGCTTTAGGTATGTCTATAAATACAGATTCTCCGTATAAGTATATTCTCATACAAATGTAGCAGTATATAAGTATACAGTTGATAAGGCACGTTGAAATAACCTCTCTCGAGACATGCCAGATCCTATATGCAGTTATAACCTTACCATTTTCTGTAAAATTAGTCTTAGGAACTGGATAATTTCAATCGTATAATGGAAACATCACCCTATACAGGCAGGTATCGGATTAAAATATCTCAAGTTTTTAAATACTTTAATGTCTATTTCACTTACAAATCAGCCAATTTAACTTCAATTAATTTGTCTGTCGTCTTCGGTTTTACCTGGGATAGTGTTGTGTATCTTGGAATAGGTGAAGCGTGGTGACAAAAAGTAACCCGATCACAACAGTACAGTTATGGTGCTAGATATTACCTGTCCACTGTCATACAGGTGAGAATGACTTACCTGGTCCTCTATATGATGGTCCATGGCAGACGTCATTCTTTTTACACCCGTGGAAATCGATGTTGACGCTACACTCACTATTTTTCACAGAGGACCATCCTGTTAGCTAAAATAAGCGATGACTTCCATAGACATGAATATTCACCGCTAAACAGGGCGACGTCGGAAAATCGATAGCAAGCACTCTCTCTCGGTGACTATGGATTCTAAGGTATTTTATCACATTGTCATTTCACCCGAAAAAACACAATTTCGAAAAGAACTAAAAATTAACAGTAGCCGTACTCCTGTGCCTGGTCGGTGGTGAAAATAATCCGCCGGTGAGTGTCAGTGACACAGTTTAGTATCAGTTTAATCCAGTGGAATGGCAGTTGACTCCTCTCGTAACCGTTCCGTGGTATGCCGTACTGCCGGTTTTTCGGTTTGTTGTGCTCCGGTTTACCTGTAGCCGCTCGGCCCGCTACGCAGCACGAGCCGTGACGTAACGCAGGACGCCGGTTGCTTTAGCGCGGCTAGTGATTATAAATTAACTAATTTGCTACCTAGAGGTGAATGGGTTTTAAGTAGGGCGTCATTTGGTAACGATGACCTCACAATCAAGGGAAGTTACGATGGTTTCATTTTCCATCTTTTCCAGTGTCCAATACTGTACACAACACTACTGGAACGGCATTCTAGAACATTTTAGACGTCACTTTATATGTCATATTTTTTGTAGGATTAATAAGAAAATAATACTGATTCAGTTATTAGCTTAATACTCTTCACGCAGTTCATCCTCAAATCATAACCTGATAAATGCGGCGCCAAACCGATGTGACATCTCACGTTTTGGATAAGTTTTCATCAAGAGATTGTTAAAACGATTTTCTTTCATTTGTGGTAATTTGAAAGTTGCTTCTGTTGTGAAATGCGTCCTGTTTATTTCAAATAAATTTATATGTATTTTCTGGCCTTAAAGGGTTTGTTTTCTATAAAATTAAGCTTTATGACAGACTTCCTTATTTAGCTCCGTATAGTATAACACGCTCTTGGTTGATGACGGTATTAATCAATCTACCTACAGCAGGTAGACTGTTGTACTGATACATGTGACGACAACCTACGTCATACCTGTAAGCTCTATCATGATTGTTCATCCCTGGGCGGCTGTGCTAATTTGCATATGATACATTCGCGACGTCATCTCTATTTTTGAAGAAGACGTACAGGTCATAACCAACGTCGTTTGTGGTACTTTAGGCTTAGAGCATTTACATGTCTTCGTGTAAGAGAAATAAATCTTATGACAGTCATTTAAAACTTATGGTTGTATTTTTAATTTTAATTAAATATGAATTTATATTACCGTATACATCCTATCTGTGTTTTTCCACTTTATATATATGACAGTAGTTGTTGATTTAGTTCAGAAATCTCAGCATATATTCCAGATATATTTCAGCCTGAATATTGATAGCTTGGGGGAAGGGGCTCCCATGAAAAAAACATTTCGGGGTCCCCCGTCACACTCATTCGGTGAAGGTATGGCTACAACAAGTGAATCTAAATGACTGAGGTTGAATACTAAATGAATTATATTTGATAAGAGCGGAACACCAGGAGAAAGGTAAATATATAATTACTAACTTCAAACGTAGCCGACCTGTACCTTGGCCGCGTGTTTTATTGAGATTTTACCAGAAAAATATATCCCTATAATGACCATAAAACCTGACGTGTTCTTTTATAAAGCTCCTTCATATTATTAACCTAATGTTTGTTTACCGGTTATAAAAGGACTATATAAATACGCCGGTCCCGTTATTCAGTTTCTGTAGTTAGAGTGTAAGGTTATAAACCTCATATTAGTTTACCTGTGTCATTTTGTTTTGAAAACGATATGTCGGTTTTATTCAGCGGTTTTTGAAAGTAATGCATTTAAAGGCACTGCTTGGCTAGAGGGTGATGTTTTTTTAATATCTGTTAGCTAAAAACACGAAAAATCTTAATTGAAAATAGACTGCACATTTTAACGAAAGACTCAAAATGCATTGCTAAAAGAATGTTATTATATAACCGTGTTTTTCCTTTTAGACCTGCCAGCCATCTAGGAGCCGTTTAGACTTTTGTAAAGCATTCCATATTATTCTGTAATATAGCATACGAAAGTTAAATCTGTGAAACTGGTTTAATGGTCCAAGGGAAATAACTCTTTATACGGCTCGACCGGCAAAACGTCACTGTTTGTAAACTTTAGTTAATTGACCTGTTAGATTATGCCAATAACACGACAGTTGGGTAGGCCTACATATCAATTCAAGTACAATTTGAGATCCCCAGTTTTACATGACATAATAAAGTCGCAAATGCAACAATAGTGTAAAGTGTATACAAATAGATGTACATTGTAAACAAATAAATGTACATTATAAACAAATTAATGTAATGTACATTGCTTATCCTTTTTATGTGAGCTGTGGAGAAACACTTGATATTTCTAACAAAGTCATCAAAATGGAAAAAAATGACTTATTGCTCACTTTTAGTGATATAAATATGTACTTGTCTAACAGTTTTCACAGTAACTCCCCTTTAGTTGGAACAGGAAAACCAGGTACATGTTCATGGAAATTGTTAACTGATAACCATATAGTAGTGAGGTGTCAGAATAGTCACACCCACTCATTATGTGTGAGGAATTTCAAAAGAAGAAATAATTTTCAGGTGTATCATACATTGTTTTAGTGGGACTGTTTCTGAACTACTAATTAGAAATGATGGATAGCTACAGGAAATCAGATTGTCACAGAGACGAGATATAAACTGTCAATCGTCATTTCTCAGGTTCAATATATATTCTTCATGAATATAAAACTTGTATGCATGATGCATTGAAACACAGCTATTTAGTTATGGTTGTTAAGAATAACTACTATAAATAGCCAATATAAGAATACCTAGACTATATACAGCCCAAGTAAGTTATGTAATGGTTATTTTATAGTTGATAAGAATCACCGAACTCTGTGTACCTACTGCCTAAATGACCTTATGTAACTACAATGTACATTTCCCCAATATCTTGAATATTCAATTAGATATTCACCCAGTCTACCACAGTGACTTTTTCTATATTACCTGTCATGTCACGGTTGGCAGTAGACAAATCAAGTTTGGTCAGTCCAAGTACCAGTTTGAATAAAATATGTTAAAAAGAACACTTGTAGTTTGTTTAGTCCAATGCTCCCATATTTCTAGCTATGTAAATAGGTATAGATATCTGTAAGGAAGTAAACTGAAGGACCATCATTTCACTGGAGTCTACTTATTTTGTCACTTAACTGCAGGAAAGGTGATATTCCACAGAAGTCTTAGGGTGATATTATATGGAGGTAAACTGAAGCCTTAGGGTGATATTATATGGAGGTAAACTGAAGCCTTAGGGTGATATTATATGGAGGTAAACTGAAGCCTTAGGGTGGTATTATACAGAAGTCTTAGGGAGATATTGAACATGTCTTAGGGTGATATTATACAGAAGTCTTAGGGTGATATTATACAGATGTGTTAGGGCGATAATATACAGATGTAATAGGGCGACAGTATACAGATGTGTTAGGGTGATATTATACAGATGTGTAAGGGTGATATTATACAGATGTGTAGGGGTGATATTATAAAGATGTGTTAGGGTGATATTATACAGATGTGTTAGGGTGATATTTTACAGATGTGTAAGGGCGATATTATACAGATGTGTTTGGGTGATGTTATACAGATGTGTTAGGGTGATATTATACAGATGTGTTAGGGTGATATTTTACAGATGTGTAAGGGCGATATTATACAGATGTGTTTGGGTGATGTTATACAGATGTGTTAGGGCGATATTATACAGATGTGTTAGGGCGATATTATACAGATGTAATAGGGCGATAGTATACAGATGTGTTAGGGTGATATTATACAGATGTATTAGGGCGATATTATACAGATGTATTTGGGTGATATTATACAGATGTGTTAGGGTGATATAATACAGATGTGTTAGGGCGATATTATACAGATGTGTTAGGGTGATATTATACAGATGTGTAAGGGTGATATAATACAACAGATGTGTTAGGTTGATATTATACAGAAATGTCAGGGTGATATTATACAGATGTGTTTGGGTGGTATTATACAGATGCGTTAGAGCGATATTATACAGTTGTGTTAGGGTGATATTATACAGATGTCTTAAGGGGATATTATAAAGAAGTCTTAGGGAGATTTGACACATGTCATAAGGTGGTGTTTAACAGGTGTCTTAGGGAGATATAGTGATATGTATGATGGAGATATTGTAAAGGTGTCTTAGGGAGATACGGTACAGGTATTTTAGATAGATGTAGAGCTTCCTCAGTCTTAGTGTGAAACTCTTCAGGATAGGAGATAGTCCATGTCCAAGTAAGGTCACCTTCATCTTTAAGTAATAATGTGTTGCAGTGATAAGTGAAATGTAGAATAGGACTATACTTTAATTATGGAGATATTGTACAGGTGTCTTAGGGAGATATAGTGATATGTATTATGTAGATATTGTACAGGTGTCTTAGGGAGATATAGTGATATGTATTCTGGAGATATTGTACAGGTGTCTTAGGGAGATATAGTGATATGGATTATGGAGATATTGTACAGGTGTCTTAGGGAGATATAGTGATATGGATTATGGAGATATTGTACATGTGTCTTATGGAGATATAGTGATATGTATTATGGGGATATTGTACATGTGTCTTAGGGAGATATAGTGATATGGATTATGGAGATATTGTACAGGTGTCTTAGGGAGATATAGGGATATGGATTATGGAGATATTGTACAGGTGTCTTAGGGAGATATAGTGATATGTATTATGTAGATATTGTACAGGTGTCTTAGGGAGATATAGGGATATGTATTATGGAGATATTGTACATGTGTCTTATGGAGATATAGTGATATGTATTATGGCGATATTGTACATGTGTCTTAGGGAGATATAGTGATATGGATTATGGAGATATTGTACATGTGTCTTATGGAGATATAGTGATATGTATTATGGCGATATTGTACATGTGTCTTAGGGAGATATAGTGATATGGATTATGGAGATATTGTACATGTGTCTTATGGAGATATAGTGATATGTATTATGGGGATATTGTACATGTGTCTTAGGGAGATATAGTGATATGTATGATGGAGATATTGTAAAGGTGTCTTAGGGAGATACTGTACAGGTATTTTAGATAGATGTAGAGCTGCCTCAGTCTTAGTGTGAAACTCTTCAGGATAGGAGATAGTCCATGTCCAAGTAAGGTCACCTTCATCTTTAAGTAATAATGTGTTGCAGTGATAAGTGAAATGTAGAATAGGACTATACTTTAATTATGGAGATATTGTACAGGTGTCTTAGGGAGATATAGTGATATGGATTATGGAGATATTGTACATGTGTCTTAGGGTGATATTATACAGATGTCTTAAGGGGATATTATACAGAAAGTCTTAGGGAGATTTGACACATGTCATAAGGTGGTGTTTAACAGGTGTCTTAGGGAGATATAGTGATATGGATTATGGAGATATTGTACAGGTGTCTTAGGGAGATATAGGGATATGGATTATGGAGATATTGTACATGTGTCTTATGGAGATATAGTGATATGTATTATGGAGATATAGTACATGTGTCTTAGGGAGATATAGTGATATGTATTCTGGAGATATTGTACAGGTGTCTTAGGGAGATATAGGGATATGGATTATGGAGATATTGTACAGGTGTCTTAGGGAGATATAGTGATATGTATTATGTAGATATTGTACAGGTGTCTTAGGGAGATATAGGGATATGGATTATGGAGATATTGTACAGGTGTCTTAGGGAGATATAGGGATATGTATTATGGGATATTGGACATGTGTCTTAGGGAGATATAGTGATATGTATTATGGAGATATTGTACAGGATAGGAGATAGTCCATGTCTAAGTAAGGTCACCTTCATCTTTAAGTAATAATGTGTTGCAGTGATAAGTGAAATGTAGAATAGGACTATACTTTACTAACGTTAGTTGGTAAATTGTTTTTCCTAGGGGATAATTGGATACTGCACTAATGTGACAGAATTTGAACCCTGGTGGTTTTCCCAAGAAGTTAAGGAAATGACCATGAACGAAAATGGTGCTTCCCTGGGGAAAAACTTCAGCTCAGGAATTTCCTGAAGATATGGAACATGCCTGAAACTCATGTTACAATAGAATATAATAATATTCAGAACTGAAAAAAACTTGACCCGTCACCATGTAGAATCATTAAGTTCAAAAAGTAACTTACTACAGTGTGTTCTGTCGAAATAGAACACCCTAGACGACAGATGTTGTCTGGTTTGTATAAAATTCTGGATTGTAGAGTCTTCTTGCTATACATTGCCAATGATGGGAACAAATTATTTGGTTGATTTAGGCAATGTTTGGGTTTGACAGAGTCCTGAATGTAGTTCTTAATCCTATTCTGGCATGTGATTTTTCTGTCGCATTATACACGTATTGCAATATGCATTTGATTAACCATTCTTACGCGTAATTTGTGTGCTTAGCAAAGGGATGCCCAGACCTGGCCTGTTCATACTACTTAGGGAAATATGTAAAACATATCTGAAACAGGGGAGATAACCAGTTAGTGTCACCACAGTTGGTTGAGTCCAGTCTGTTACAAGTTTCCTTATCTGTGCTATATAAGTGTTATTTGTTATATAGTTGGTGCAACAAACACATTAATATAAAACACAACAACACCTTTCAGTTTTGAAGTTTTTACTTTTTTCCCTTTGTCTCATTTGCTTAAATAATTTTGCAAATTTCTATGCATTGTTATCTATACCCATTCTACAACATCATACTGTTTATTAGTGCTTCCAAACACTTATAATGAATATCACACACTGAACATTTATATCTGGTGCCCCTTGAACAAGTCTGGGAACCGGCCAGATATTCTCATCCAATTTCTGTTCTCTTTCTTCTGGCCGAACATTCCAAATTATCAAAAATACTTACAAATTTTCAGACTAGATTTTGGCTAAATATCATTATAGCACTCCTCATTCAACCATACGTAACATGTTAATTGAAAGAAAGCATCTAACATACAGTAATAATACCATAATCCTACACATGTACAGACACATGGGCCATTCCCAGCCCTCGACTATAAGACTGGAGATATATAAATTACAAAGCAAGTTTACAATAACTGATCACGGATTTCTCACTCACATTAATTATATATCATTTTACAGCCTTAAGTCAATCAATTCATATTGAAATTCCCCGAGAGGGGAGGAGTTTCTTATAACAACTGAACCCGAACATCAAAATGCTACAGTTTCTGTTTTTTAACTATCAGAACTAGTCTTTCTCCAACACTGATACAGTGCAATGGTAAATATAACATGGTCTGCTGGCAATATCAGGTAAATATCCTCTAAGATTTACTGTGCTACAAAGGAACCTCAATAAATCAGATTTGAATCATTTGTAGAAACGGCTAACATCTCTGAGGAGGTGAAAGGAACAAACGGCACTTTTATGTTTTGTTTTGAATATTAATGACATCATCTTATGACATCACTATACCTCTTCATAATAAACAGTCTCAAAACTAATTTAATTTCTTAATGTTAAACTAATGCATAAAAGATTTCCATCTTGTGAATCTGAGTAGCTATGATGGGCATTTATCTCGATTTAAAATAATACTAATATCTATCAACAGCACCAGACGAAACAGTGAGGGGTTTCTTCAATAATGGAGACACTTTCAAATTATTGAAAATAAAATCTAAAATTTCAGAATAATGTGAATTGTTTATAATTCCCAACAGAATTGTTTTTGCACTAGATTGTTTATCTGTTAAATTTAATGCATGTATAATGTTAACTTAAATTTTTTTTTTTTAGAGTTGTCGTAATCATTAATTTAAAAACGCTCTCTCTAAAACGGAAAATATACCACAAAAAGTCATAACTAGGAACATTTTTGTACAGAAAACAGAAGTCATTAAATTACATGTTATGATTTTCATCACTACAATTTAACTGGTGAAAGATCAGTATGAACCTAAATGTAGGCCATTTACATTACCATTATGATTTCTGACTTTTTTAGATCTGAAGTTGTCTTACAGGCTAGTTGTCCACAGGTTAAAACAGACACACTTACTGATTCATTCAGCCTTACATCAACCAGTTAATGAATACATTACCATTATACTTTCTGAATATTTTAGATCTGAATGTTTACAGGTTAAAACATTCAACAGTCTTTAGACACACTTACTAATTCATTCAGCCTTACATCAACCAGTTAATGAATACTGAAGACAAGTTGCGAGACTGTAAGGACTTTTTTGTATAGAACATATTGCACTGAACCAGAAAGCTAATGTAGATAAACCAATCTAAAACAAAATGTAGTCAATTAGTGGTTCCTCTAAGATGTGTTCTTACAAACAATGTCATAAATGTACAAAATTACTTATTATGCCACATGAAACTTTTCTAAAAACCGATTAAAGCATTCATTTACATGGTCTCCAGCAGCAAGGGGATCCCTCTGTGGATCACGATAACAGAAGGTGAGGACATGCCGATAAAAGCAGTACATTAATTTGTAGTACTGATACCTTCAACATCACACCAATGAATGCAATAGCACTATTGCCTTCCTGATCACACCAATAAATGCAGTAGTATCATCACACCAATGAATGCAGCAGTATCGTTGCCTTCCTGATCACATCAATGAATGCAGTACAACTGTTACCTTCATAATCACACTAATGAATGCAGCAGTTCAACAAAGATAACAAGGTAAATATATACTGCATAGTTTTAATGCACGACTTCCATTTTTCAATATTTAGCATATATAATTTACATGACATAAACAAAAGGCGAAACTATTGCACAGAATTGAAATATCCCTGTCAAATTGTTCTAGATTTGTCTTTCCTTGGATAGCATTATTAGGCCCATGCACCAAAGAAGGAACACCTACTGTGTATACTCCATAGGAGTCTATCCACTGTCTACTGACGGTTTAAGCACCCTCAGACCTATTTGACTTGCAAGTTTACTCATCCCTATAAACCCTGACTGAAATCCAGTTTCCTTTCTTCTGTCATTCCATTATGGTTTACAGGGTTGAAAAGACTAACAAGAATAAATAAATACATTAAAGTTGTCCACCTAATCACAGACAAGCACACATGAAAGTTTATAAATAGATATTGTACAAGACAACGACAATTCTCCATTAGAAACACAAGTGTTTTCCTGCCTATCTCTGCCACTCTCGAGAGGAAAAGCTAATACACAAGCCCACTCTGTAGTTGGTCGTCCTGTATTTGGCCTATACACAAGCCCTGTCTGTAGTTGGTCGTCCTGTATTTGGCCTATACACAAGCCCACTCTGTAGTTGGTCGTCCTGTATTTGGCCTATACACAAGTCTGTCCTATAGTTGGCCTATCACTGGTACATCAATGGTTCTGTATCAAGTTTTCTGGGTAGCACTGATTATGTGGTTGACACAACATTTTATCACAAAGTAGCCTATCCTTTAATGTACCTGCCTGTTGTCACTTTGGTCAGCGAGCCTGGTTCTGGCCGTTACAATGATTACAATCACAGTTGTCCATGTCAGTTTCTGTATCATTATAATCCCTATAGTATCCATAATATCATCTGTTCGCAGCCTAGAAAACTGACCATCGTTATCCCATAGATAATCTAAAATGTTCCGCGGAGTTGTCTACACTTGATGTCTAATCAGGCACACAAGTTAATACAAGCCATGCAACTAAGACTGTTTCTGATTTGTATTCCACATATCCATGTGAAACCATGTCCATTTTTTATTTCAAAAGTAAGGTAAGTTAGACTTCTTCTTTCTCCAACAGTTATTAGTTTTCAACAAGAACTTGTCTTAAACTCTGCGAATTCGGATTGAGTGAGTTTAGAACGGAGTGGGCCGATCATACCGTTCCTTGGCTGTGTTGTTGTTGTGCTGTACTGGTCCTTCAGCTGGCTCAGGGCAGACATGAGTTTAGCATTAGCATTGTCAAGGGACTGAATGCGTCTCTCCTGGGCTTCAATCACACGTTGCTTCTGATGGACGATCTTCTCCATTTCCTCCTGTTCGTTCTCTATTGTCATGAGTCTATAAGTACAAAGATAAAGACAGGCCACATCAATACAGAGGCATTTCAATAAGTCTTCGAAAAAGAGCAGAACCAAAATTTTGTAAACAAAATTAAAATTAAATTGTAAAGGACTTACCTTGACATCTGAAGGATCAGCTTCCCTCACTTACCTTGGTGTGGGAATGACTGACCTACTAGACCAGGCCAGGGGTACTGGAATGATCAATCTGTTTTCTATTCCTATTTAACTACCTATGTACCTTGCTTTTATTTAAAACAGTGACAGAATGGCAACTTTTTTTTTCAAAGTCAATATACGATTAAATATTTGTGGAAATAGTAGTGATTTTTACAATACTTCAGTCAAACTTGTGCATTTCCTTGGAGTGTAAGTCACATTTTTTAGAAACTGCAATATCTTTGAGTAATCGGACTCATCAACATTTAAAAATTTGAAAATGATAACAATATATTTGCACGAAACAATCCTAAAAAAATGCTGAAATAAATACAAAGTTCTACTGTATTTCGACAAAATTATTTTATGCTTGATATTGATAACTGTTCAACTGTTGCCATAACGTCACTGTCATCATCCATTGTTTACTACGTGACCAATAATCACATACTCGCCTTTTCCTGCGACCCCTGTTTGACCTCTCGACTTGACAATGCAGACAGACACCATGCAACAGTTAACATTGATCAGATTGAACAGAAAAACAATCATTCAGAAGATAAAATCACACAAAAAGAGAAACAGAATCATATACTCTTTGTCCTTTGACCACATAAGAACCAATATATATATATACAATCAGAATTATATATATACAAGAAAATAGAATCTTATAATGTATTCCATCAAATATCCATACTAAATAATTCAAACAAACTAGGTATACTTGATAACATATTCAAAACCACTTTAAGTCATAATCAATTTTTATAATGAATTTGAAATGCAAAATTTGATAACAGTAAATAAAACATGAATGCTGAACAGTTAATATTATTAAACATTTCAAAGTTAAGTGACTGCCATTCCATATTGTTAGTAGTAGTCCCAACAGTTAACACAGACATTAGAGACCAGGGTTAGAGGGTACACAGTGAGACCTTTGGTTAGAGGGTACAGCAAGACCAGGGGTTAGAGGGTATGTCATGTGGTTAGACAGAACACCATACACAGTAACCAGTTAATTAAGGAACATACAGGATAGTATGGAGTACACATATAAATGTTACAAATTTCTATGATTCCTCAAGTTATATGTCAATAATATTCCACATAAGTTTGACCATGCTATTAGCTGAAACCTATTTCTCATGTTGTAAAGGGATGCATACATGACAATATCGCCATGGTGACTAGCAGCTATTGAATATAGTAACCATAGTGACAGAATGCATACAAGACAAACAGATAAGCCAGCAGGAACAATCTCGGTGACTAAAGTGACTTGTGATACAGACATTTTAGAACCATGTTGGTTGCCATGGTGAAGTGAGACACAGGATGCCCAGTGAGGGAGAAAGCGTGTTTGTTAGTACCCACCGTACAGTGTCAGTAATACAGTCCGTGACTCCTCCCCCGTGATTGTGTGGGTGAAACCATCAAGACTCGCCAGGCAACACCCACCTAACACCATATACAGATAGCTAGCTCTACATGTAGCACTGTGTAGCGTGGCGTGCACAGTACATACAAACCTTTGAATAATATGTTTCATTTGGTCATCTTTGTCGTTCTGCTGTTTTTTCATTCGCTCCTCACTTTCTTCAAGGCGGAGCTGCCAGTCCTCGACTAACAGATTCGTACCTGACTGTTGTTCCTGCAGCATTTTCTCCGCGGTTTGTAGACGTCTTTGGGCATCAACCACTTGCTGTTTAAGCACCTCGACCTCTTGTTCATACTGCAAAATGCACATATTTATACATGTTTACATACAACAAAAGTACAATGTCAGCCGCAGTATCTTGCACCAAAAGTCTTGATATAAAAATTCTAAACCAAAATTAATTACTTTCATTAAAATGAGAAAAATAGATCCAGATATTGTGATTTCTCATTGATAAAAAGACAGAATAACACATTAAAAATCACTTTTAAATTAAACTCTGTCTTAGAATTGAAATAGGTGTTCATAGTTTGATTTTGTTTTGTCGACTTACTTCCTGTTTCGTCTTCTCTTGTTCATGAATCTTGCGTTGCACTGACCGAATGCCCATGTGAACGGTTGTCTGAGGGGACAGTCGCCGGTGGGCAGGGCTGTCCTCGGGAGACATCTGCCCGCGGTTGTTTGAGGACACAGATACACCACTGTCGCTGTGTGTGTGTACAGGCGTGCTGTTCTGGGATATCCTAGAGTCTGTGGCAGTCCTACGCATTTGGTCTCCATACTTTTGTCGCATGTACGTGAAGTCCACACTGCCTGTGTGTAAAAGTTCGTGGGGGCGAGATGGAGCCCGACTTAACGAGTATGAATTGTTCACATTTGTCGACGACGACACATTGCTATTATTAAAGTCTTCAAATATATGAGACGGACAGGAACTATGGAAGTCCAATGAAAATTTTACCGGGTCATTATTTGGGCTTGATAAAGAACGAGAAAATCTGTGTCTTTCATGCTCCTGTAGAGATTCACTGCTGCTACTACTGGACAGTTTGGGGGCGAGATTCCGTAGGGGGTCAGCATTGCCATTGCTACTATAAGTAGAGGACGTTGATTCAACCCGTTCAGCATGTTTTATGGGACTTCTGTGTTTGACTGTGTTGGAGTCTTCCTCACTGCTGAGGGACCCCGAGCTTGTGGAGCCCTGTTGCATTGGTGTTGGGGTGCCACCATGCTGCGAGCCCGACAATGAGGAGTGGATATGTCGATACATTGGGTTGGAGAAGGACAGGGGCTGCATAGGGTGGTGGTGACCAGAAGGGGACTTGGACGAATAATCACGGCTGTTACCATCTTGTGCATTGGACGATTCCACTGGTGAGTTGGACTGGCTATAACCAAATGACTGATACCCAGACGATGCTATTGTTGATATTTGGCTTATCGACATTTGGCTACCGTTCATGTTGTGTTCAAGTTCCATACTTGAGTTTTGTGGATCCTCATCGATGTATGATAACAAATCTATGTACTCTCCATTATTAAGTCCCTCCGCAGCATTCACTATTTCATTCCACGATTGGTTAGTTTCTAACGTGTTTGAACGTGAACTCACAGAAACATCCGACACTTCACTCTCATTCCTAGAATTTAAAGCCCTTATCATTACATAATCATCACTTGTGTTCAAGTGTCGAGCAGGATTTCGACTTCCACCAGTACTCCCATCGAAACTACTGTTGACTGACCCAGGCTTTGTTCCCCGTCGACCAGACAGTACCGGGATGTCCTCCTCCCCACAGTGACGTAACATTTCGCGTAGGACTTCTGTTGGAGAGGTACCGGCTTGTGGGGTGTGAACTAGATTGTCATAGATCTGTGACTTCCTGTTGGGTTTTACCGGGAGGCGTTTCTCAACCTCCGGGTCATCCAGAGCTTGGCTCAAACTCTCCAGGATAGAAGGAAGCTTCCCTAGTTTAGCGACTGTCTCCTGAAACATACACCAGTTAACACATTAATACCCACTAAGGAAGAAAGAGACATTCAATCAAAGGAAGCTTTCAAATAATAATTTTGCAGCGAAAACAACTTTTATTTGAGGTCCTTCTGTGTAGCTGCCTTAAACAAACCAAAGTCATCAGAAAACAGTAGAAATCTGAGGTCTCTTTGTCTTGTCGACTCACTTTTTGGTGCTTATTTGCTGAGTATTCGATTACCTAGCCACAACTGATTTCACTACTCTCACTTATCGTATTATACATTCTTTTTATTCTAATGAAAACTGAACTATAAAAACTGAAAAATCTCTTAATTCTGAATGACCGCAATGATGCTGTTCTGTTTGGTATGATAAGACAATATCGGGGGGAAGGTGAGGGCGTACCTTGTCAGCTTTTTCCAAGTTCTCCAGCAGCAGAGAGTGTAAGACTGACAGCTCCTTACCAAGATCTATGTAGCCATCGAACTCTAGAAACTGGTTAGACCTCTCCGTGCTCTGTCAACCAACAGTAGTCATATTACACAAATGCCATGCTTCAAATATAACCCAGAATTTCAATACTTACAAAATATCAAAAGTTTAATTTAGACATTTTTATAAAAATGCAAAACTTGATCTAAACAAAAGCAGTTTTTCACTAGAATCAAGGTCATGTGACACTATCATGCGATTAACTGTTTCACTTATTGCGTTACTTACTGATATCTGCTGAAGGAAGCCCCTCATGCTTCCCCATTGCCTTTCTAAAAACTCGTTCATGAATGTCATGAATTCTTCTTTTCCTCCAAATCTACAAAACCAACACAAAAAGTTAAATCTATACTTAAATTTACATATTGGTAACTGTTGGCATATATGTGTTAATGCAGAAAATGTTAACTTTTATTTGATTAATTTTGAGTGAATACAGTGTGACTTAATCTTGTTCTGTGACCTAATTTGTCGCAGAAAATGTTAACTTTTATTTGATTAATTTTGAGTGAATACAGTGTGACTTAATCTTGTTCTGTGACCTAATTTGTTTTGTGTGAACTATTTCACTTTGTATGACTTACTTGGAGAAGTTGGCAAGAGTCTGGACAGTCTTGGCGATTAGTGTTAAGTTCCTGGCCGCCTTGTCAGGGGGGTACTCTGTAATGTACAACTCTTAGTAAAAATAGGGTTTTCTGATGATAAATTATACAGCCTCAAGTTCATTACATTAGCTATCATTGTTTTATTATCAATATAAAATAAAGCAACTTTTGTATTTGCAGGTAAGCAACATAAGAGAAATTAAGACTTGCACTGGAATATTTTCATATGACCTACCTTGTGTAAGATTAAAAAGGCTGGGAGACAGGATTGCCGGACACAAAAATCGTAAGAAGATGGAGGCACTGATAAGATTGTCTCCAAAATCCCCTTTACTGGTCCTATCACAGTGGTCACGGAAGCTGGAGAATACCTCTCGAAGCTCGCTGTGAGGAAAAGACAGAAACTATACAATACTGCTGGCTGTAAGGATATCTATAAACAACAACCTCAAAATAACCCACTTTCTTTTTTAACTTACTGTAAGGAAAAGGCGAACAAAAAGTAATGAACATTTCTCATAGTTTGCTGTAGTACAGATGTAGGACAATTCTTGTTTTGACCTTGTTTCTTTGAAAACATGTCCCATATGAAAATATTGGAGTATGAACCAAGAGTTATGCCCCTTACACTAATGTGCATCTATCAATAACAGTCTATAGGAATGTGTGTACATTGGTACATTGACCCTCACCATGGGAAATAACAGTGTGAGTTGATGATCTTTGCCAGCACCATCTCACAGTACATATCCAGGAGGCGCTGGTGGCTGGTCAGCTGGGCTGGATTCATCACCTTCGTGGGATCAACCTCGCAGTCGTCTTCCGAGTCTATGATTGTCCTCACGGTCTCACTCAGTGTGTCATGTAAATACTGCAAGTTCAAGGACACAACACAGCGTATTGTAGTAATGGTAAAAACGTTCATAATCAACTGGACTTAAAATCATTGCAACATGAAACAGTTTACTTTTATTGATATTGAAAGTTTCTTTTTGAACAAATTTAAAATTACTTACTTTTTCTCCAACAAGTTTCATGTATGCTTCCATTGCCTTGGTCCCTATTGTGTTTCCCCGGAATGTCAGGTTCTGATTTTCTATGAAAACAACCAAAGTTCATTTAATTATTATTCTGTTTAAATAAGCAGAGACTCCGACAACATGTTTCAATTACAAAGGGAATCAAAGCTATAAATATGTTTAAACCCAATCACCCCTAAAGTCACAGTTTAACCTTACCATATCAAAGACTGGGCATGTCCAGTTTAGAAATGTAGGGGTGAATGAGTTAATACCTGTAAATAAGCTGATATTGGGTCTAGTATGGCTGCTTTATACTTGAGGATCTCTGGAATTTCCCAGATATACCATTCCCTACGTCCTCCTTACATTACTTACCTAGCTGAGATATTTCTGCCATGATGACGTCGGACAGGAAGTCCTTGGCCTTTTCAAGCTTTTGCATGATGTGGATCATGGTTGTGGCTAGCTCTTCCTTTTCACGGACACTGACAATCTGCTCGAGGACCTCACATAATTTGCAGTAGTCCCGACTCAGGTACTAGAGGAGGTAAAATGACATTCAACATCTGTTTGCTTCCTTTTTTACAGCATATTTATGAGCATTTATGAAAACTTGGGTGATATTTTCTAACAAATGTGTGCAAGGTCAAACTAAAACCAAGTCTTTAAACATCATTAAAAAGTCACAACCAGTGGCTGACCGTGTTATACAGGTGTATTACCCGAACATGATTATCTCGTTAAGAAAACATACCTGTGTGAAGTTTCTCATTAAGAAGGCATACCTGTGTGTTAGTTTTACGTTAAGAAGACATACCTGTGTGAAGTCCTGGTAGAGTTCCATGGGAAGGATTTCCACCACATGGAAACGTGCCTTTAACCGAACCAAGGGCAGTTCACTCTTGTTCTCCTTGCCTATCTTCCCCACTGTCCCTGAACTTGTGGTATACCTATAAATAGATTGGTCATTATCAACACTTGCCTCACTTTAACAAACAATTCCTATCAGAGTCAGTTTAACGTTAAAGCACATAAGGACTTAGAGATATCAACATATAAAACTGTCAGATATATACAATTTTGGGATGAACGCGGTATCATAACTATCAATTTGAGTAATGGACAGACAGGGGGAAATGCTCAGACAGACTGGATTTAATCAATAGTACACTAAAAGCTGTCAGCAGTCACATCTAGATCAGGTTGACACCAACTTTACCTTAACATTTCTCTTTATCGCTTAAATAAAACCATTTCTCTTTGACTTTAATCTTACCATTTCTCTACAAACTGTCTGTTGCAAATGTCAGCCACTGGTATATTTACATAACCTAAGGAAGAAAAGATAAAAATTTGTCAAAACAAACAAATCTAAAAATAAGCATATCAAATCATCACACACTTTAATATGTTAGAACTTAAGACATTCAGTGTTAGATTGCTGGCCGATTTCTTGGTGTTCTAATCAATCAAATTCACATTTTCTACCCAACATTATCCTTCTGACCTCAAATGGAAAGCCGATTTCCTCAGAGTTGGGGGAATCTACGAGGAGGTTTGATGCAGTGAGATTAAGTACGGGAAGTCTGCCAAATGAACCGTTTCCTATGTGTAGACAACTTTTATCTACCATCTCTCAAACATGTCCAGAACTTCACCAAATTTGATAGAAGTGTTCATTTACAAAAGCTTTGAAAATCCTTAAAAAAATGAAATCTACTGTGAAAAAGTTTCAGATAAATTCCTGAAAATCAATGAGTTGAGCACTTAAATATTTATCTAAGTTGTTGAGATACATTTTATCTATAATAAAGGATGGGAAGTAAGTCCTGATTCCTGTTTACTTTAGCACGCTTGAAGATTTATATAAAAAGCCTGTACAGTTCATCATCATTAGAATCCTGACTAGTGTTACCAATCTGTTGTAAAACACTTAATTTATTCCCTGTGTTTCAATACAAGTAAGCCTGCTTTGTGTACATTATTCCAAGAATTAAGTTATAAGCCCTTTTTTGTACTTTCCAGAAATCTCAAGACAAATGAGACTGAGAATTCAAAAGTGCATTGGAAAGACTAAGTGTTAAGGATCACGACAACAGCAGCAGATAGCTTGTTGGCCATACTGCAATCGCATGCAGCCAAGTAGAGTTTTCCTAAGTACACCAACCAAGTAATTGTCTTTGTACATACATCTCACAAAGGCATTCACATCTAGATCCTACAGTTCAGTGTTTATTGTACATTAATTACACGCAGGAAAACTCCCAACTAATGGTGCAGATTTTACTGAAATTTAATCACCGGAGAAAACCAGAAAATAAGATAGAACATACAAAAAACTTAGCCTGGGATCGATAAATTAGCCTTGGCAGAATGTTGAAATGGAATAACTGACATTTATGCACATCAGAACAAATAAGAATTAGGTTGAATGGTGTCCGGTTTTCAATTGTACTTCATACATCTCTCCGCCAGTTCTCTTTACACCAGTTTAGTAAGTGACTTACAGCTAGCATGAGATACATGAAGTTCACTTGCTCTGAAGACGCACTACCATGACACAGCTGTGTAGAATGTTTGGTTCTGATTTATCTCATGTTAGGCAATGTTAAATTCAAACCCCATTCCTGACATACCCTGTTACGTTCTACAGCCCCTAAATGATAGACTTATTGTCTGTGACTGATATTTCGGGTCAGACTGATACCACAGACAGTATCTAGGGGTTACACATGGTAGTGAGAACTTTTATCCTGTGTGGATGTGTTTGTTAGATTTGTAAATGAAAGTAGCCTTTGGAATCCCTGAAGATTTCAGACAAAATGCAATATAGGGTTACATTTGATAAAGAAGGATGTTCCATAAGGTTAAGAATAATGAAGGGATGTGTTTACATAACATTACAGAGGCATGTCTTCGAGTGGGAACTGTGCACGTAGATCAGCTAAATATCAAATTGTTCTATTAATATAAGATGAAATTTTTTAACAGCAAATAGCTAAAAATAATCAATACCAGGTAACACAACATATATCGAACTTCTGTCATGTTGTACAACATGTGTTGTTGACATCAGATTCAGACTAACCAGACTTTGTCATGTACAACTTGTGTGTTGTGGACATCAGATTCAGACTAACAAGACTTTGTCATGTACAACGTGTGTGTTGTGGACATCAGATTCAGACTAACCAGGCTTTATCACTGTAAGATGTATGTGTTTTTTAAGTCCGGCTAAACTGTATTTCATGCGTTTTAATAAAGAACTGTATTACATGTGTTGTAAAAAACGTATTACATGTGTTTTGTAAAGAACTGTATTACATGTGTTTTGTTAAGTCCTGCTAAACGACATACATGAGTATGTAGCTTACTAGACGTTGGCGTGGCAATAACACAGTAGGTAATTAATTATTAGTGAGAAGGAAGCTGCACCCCAGCCTCAGTATCCACAACACATCATTGTTGTATACCTTCAGCACCTCTCTGACTCACCACTCGGCCCAGCCAGGTTTTACTGGGGATGGGCGACAGCCAGCCAGCCTCTGTATACACTACTGTAGGCGTACTGACAGGGTTTATCAAAGTACACTTGGTAAAAGTTCACAGAATATGTCATGCATATATACCGCACACGACAACCTGCTGCTGTTTCTGTGACATGTCCACACACTATCACATCAGCAGTCCTAGTGTATAACTGCTGTTACACCGCTGGCTTACCCATCCATCACTTATATCATGGTAGAAAAGCTTACAGTCCTAATGTATGTGAGCAAGTTCAAATTTTTCATTCATGAATGGTTTAGTTGCTTGATACCATGTGTAATGTCAGGGTCATGACAGCATGTGAAAGTTCAAGGTCAAGCCCAGTTGCTCAAAGGATGGTTAGAATTAACTCATTCACCTCTGAAGACACATTTGAACTCTTCCAATTCAAAGGTTGGAATAGTTCATTATGAAATTTCAGGGGTGAATGAGTTAACCAGTGGTTAGGGGAATTTGAAATATGAAGACTCTTCCATGAGTCAATTAAAGATTGTGACATCATGTAATTGTTTAAGGTCATATGACATCAAGTGTAAGTTCAAGGCCATGACCTTACATGTTGGAGGAGATAAAAGTGAAAGAGGAACATAATAACAAGTATAAACATTATCATCTCATACGATACCCACCTATAAGACAATTTTTGTCCTTTTTCTTCTTCTTGTCTGCTTCTCTAAATAGGTTGACAGTGACTATTTCTAATGGAGGTAAGTTGCTGAAAAAGTAATTAAAGAACACTGAACATCTGTAAAAAACTTATAACTCTTATTACAAAAATACCCTAAATACACCACATCGTAATGTTACCTGGGTTACTCCTAATCAACTGTCAACTATCCAAGTGGAACTGCCTATTTTCCTTGAAATCCCCTGACAACATTCTACATTTATAAGGGATTTGAAACCTTAAATGATTGCTAAAATCAAAAATCTTTGACATTAAGAAGCAGAGTTAGAGACGTCAGTAATGAGTTTGTTCAGAGGTAATCTGGTGTGGAACATGTGTAATTAATTTTATAGCCCATCAAAGATTTGGTCTTTCCTTACGGGGACGTGATCAATAAGACCCTACCAACATCACTGACAAACTGGGGCACAACCGATAATTTGGATCATCAATCAGTATTTCCTCCCGAGACAAAGCCTTCGATCCAACGACCATAGGCGCTGATTACCTCACACGTAACGAGCACCTATCACTATTCCCTGTGAACCGCTTACGCACTCTCAATTATAGAATGTAAAATTTGTTTGTTAGAATGCACTTTTTTTGTACTTCTATTGAATATTTCTTCAGCTTAATTGCAAAAAAACCCTTTTACTTCATTATCTTAGATTGTGTTGCCCAATACTGCATTTCTTCGACTTTTATAATTGCGTAGGAAACTCACGCTTGTTAGTTTTTTGGTTTTTTTTGGTTACTACGTAATTAGGACATACAAAATCAAGATAATTATAGGTCATGTGACAGGGAATGGATTGGCTTACTTGAACTCGAAATGTTCTCCCCAGAACAACATGTCTGCTTTGGTTTTACTGGATGTGCGTGCATACAGAGTCTTGTCCAGGCAGATCTCACAGAAATACCTGCAAACAAATTATCAGAAATACTGAATATAAAACTTCTAATTACAATTCTTTTATTTCAATAAAATCAATACACTGTTACTCTTCATAAAGGAAAAACATGGGGTGACAGAGAATTAGAATGAAAGCAAAGGTAAATTCACAAAATCTAACACCTGAATGGAAATAAGGTGACTATGATCAGAACCACAGGATCCAAACCTTTAGCTTGTGGGCATATATGTATTGTAACAATAAAACACATAGACAGATTGATTAGGACAAGGTTACACTCAAACAGTCAACATAGGATAATGTGACCCCTAGCCGAGTCACAGCTGATGGGTAAAGGTCATGGCAGAGGTCAATGAGTGAATGCCCTTAGGAAACAAAGGGGTGAATTACACATGATCTTATCATTGCGAAAGTGAAATGTCAATTACGATAAAAAGATAGAATTATTCAAATTAATAGATCGTTATTTCCCCAAATTTGAGGTCAAACAGGGTTGATTGAGGTTATACACATGTTTTGAAGTCGTGACAGTTTTGAAGTCGGGACAGTTTTGAAGTCCTGATGAAAGGTTACAACTTTCTAGAGCTGTATGATACTGCCTAGCATAGCTGTAATAGAGCCTCAGTCTCCTATATAAAAACAGTTACATAAACTGATTACAAAAGGAGCATCATTTAGCATTTACTCCATCAATAGATTCCTTAATCGTGAATTTTCTACTTCATTGCAAAATGAAAGGCAAAAATTCTCCGAATATCTAACAGTCTCAAGGACTTGTCAAACTTAACATAAGTGACCATTAAATGCCATTAAGTGACCTTTAAGTGACCATTATGTCCAGACTGGGGTGGAAGTGTCAGAGCTGCCCATCTTTCTACCTATAGCAGGTGCTACAGGGTGGACAATCAAATGACAATTGTCAGGTGATAAATTGCCTCACCTGTCCTACCTTAGCCAGGTTGGGAGTCATATTTACACCTCTAGAATTATCAACCACCCCTAACTGACCACACTTTCCCACTATTTCTGTCACTGAACACTTTTTCTCAGGATGTGAGGCACTCAATAAAATCTATTCAGCATTAAACGTTAAAATAGCTCAGGGGGCAATTTTGGTCAAATTTTATCGATGATCTTAGACATAGACAACTTCTACGTCTTTCTCAAAGGATCACCTCCTATGATTACTTAGGTAGAGAGTTATGCCATTTTATTTACTGAATACAGGCCTTAAAAGCTGTTTACCGGGGTAGCTGTTACAGTTTTGTTATTTCCTTAGTAGTACAATGACAATAGTTGAATTTGGTTGCGGGCCATTTTATAGAGTCAGAATATTTTGAAATGATTCCCTGTAATGTGAGAGAAAAGATTTACATAAGAAATATCATGATCAGTAATGGAGGAGTAAATAATCTTCCTGTTTTATAACTGTAAGGTCCTGGGATCAAATCGGGACCACTGTAGACATAGGTGAAATCATACTAAATCTTAATAACAATTTTTTACATAACCCTTTGCTAAAGTAAATGAACGAGCAACACTATTAACTCCAAGTATGAACAAAACAATTGTATCTAATTATTAATGTCACTCAAACACAAGTTTACTTTTTTCACCTGCAGCAATGACCTTTGGCTAATGCTGACCATGCTGCTGACAGACAGGTAGTAGATTTTACTAGCTGTAGGGCCGATATCCCGAGTCAAAGTGTCACTCACAGTCACTCACAACTACCTATATACTATGTCGCTCTGTAGACATACTGAGCACAGTGTTTATATCTACATTCCATTGAAATAGTTATCATAATCAATATTTCATTAAAGTTATGATTCCTCCCATGACAATAGTGTGGGCAATGGCTGGTCCTACGAAGTACATATATACACCTTTTCCCTACCAGTGACCTTTTCACCTGTATCCGCATAGGAAGTAGATAAGTGCTGTATATGACAGGAAGTTGTCCCTGTGACTGGACATACTTAGACTTCCTGTCAGCATGGCAACACTCATCTAGCTCCAGCCATTTCTTACACATGCTATATAGACAAATACTGATCTAGCACTGGACACTTCTCACACCGCTAGACAACAGCACTGATGAGGTTAACACAAATCACAAACCAGGGCATGTACAGCTTAACAATGCTGAAAATGAGGTTTGACAGGGATGAATGAAATGGATTTGATTTGATTAAGTCTCTTAAGTGCTTAACTTGACCTTTCAGAACCGAGCCCGACCCTACTTCCTGTGAACTCTCACAGTCCTGTCTTGGATTAGTTTACACACCTGTTATTGCAGGTCAAAACATTTGCATATTTTATGACATTTTACTTTGTCAGATATTTGATGTTCTAAAATTTTCCCATGAGTGTCATACAAGGGGATGAAACAGGATACCTCCTGTCTCCCCGGAAACTGACCGATGTGGACAGGTGATCATTACTATAGGGACACACCTATTGATTACAGGTGTTTACAGGTACACCAGTTAGTGAGCGCTGCCACCTTGTAATACATTATGATATATAACCACACCAAGGGGCAGGATGTGTCTTGTGACAATAGACAACAAACAGGCGTAACACACTCCTACAGTGACAATGATAACAGTAGAACAGTGTACAAGGCTAAATAGTCAGGGGAGACAATTATATCTACACAAGGTCAGGTGACCTAACTGGTCATTACAAATGACCCCTTGGGCAGGCCACTCATGGTCTGACAACATCTGAAGGACCGGTCACTAATGTGCTAAAGATCATGATCAATTGACCTTAGCATTGAACTGACCATTCACGCTTGACCAGTAGATCAGACAAGATAAACCAACACATTCCTGATCTCATCATTACAAGGAAAACATGGTGATGTAATCCTATGAAAACGTGGGGTCCTCATCAAAAGATCTGATGATTTCAATTCCTCATACATCGGTTCTTAATCAGTAGGGTAGAAGATAAGATAAAATAAAATGATGCAATATTGACTTGTTTAATGATTGAATCTCTTTGATCTGAAACTCCTCAAATAGGCAGGTACATTGGCTAATTAAGGACAGGTAGACATTGACCACCTGGTAACCTCAACACGTCAAATCATCCTATCAGTTTTCTGTACAAACCGTACGTAGACAATATAGAGGTACACAATATATAGAGGTAGACCATATAGCTATATGTAGACCATATAGAGGTAGCCACCATATACATCTGGTTTTTAATTTAAACTCTATAGCCCTGTACTAACAGTGATCAGTTGTGTGTAGTGTAAGCTGTGTGTACTTTTACAATAAGAATATACGTAAACGGCAGAAAGTCATAGAAATGGATCAATCCTCCGTCATCACAAGTCATCAGAACTAAGTAAACGTTATCAGTGTAATTCAGTTTTGATTGGAGAAATAGAAGGATTATGTAAGAACAGGCAGCCTTACAAGTTTGAATTACAGGGTAGATCATTTAGGCTTTCATTAACAAACATTCTGCTGTATTTCTATCTAGAGTTCAGCGGTCACAGAAAATAGTGTGGCAATTAAGTTCTGTACCAATCCAACCACAGTCTTCAGATTACTGGTGTAAATTTCAGTGTTCACACTTTCAAATAAGAATTCCAATGAGAACGAGTCCTATTGGGTTATACTACTGTTTGGTCCACTTAAATGGTCCATTCTAAACAAAAAACTTTTATATTACAAAACAGGATAAGATCATTTAAAATTATTCACAACAGCCATATTGTGTTTAAGTTCCTGTTTCAATGTGAATGAGGAAATGATTTTCGTAGGTGAAGTGGGATTCTGTGTCTGGATTTTACGGATGTAGCTCCTTGCAACCCATGTTTTTGTACAACAAGTTGTTAACATCCTACGTATAAGATCTTCTAGGTTTTTTTTGAGGTCACCTCGTAATCCGTACTGCAAAAAAATCACATGACCGCCACAAGTCAATAAGGTCTAGTATCCCGTACAATACTGGGTTATTTAGTATACTCGGGCTCAGAGTTCCCCATCAGCATCTTTGTTGGCTTGACATGCATGAATGACTGCACTGACCCGAACAACAACAGTTTTGTTAAAAGTGTACCTGGTTGCACTTGAGTTAGTATCAGTGTACCACACTGTAACACTTTCAAGAGAATGTAATTAACTGTTTTAAGTCTGTCCAGGTCAGTGCCATGCAGTATATGCCTCTAACATTTCCAGGAATTCTCACACAGTTGGTTACGGTTATAGATTCAGAAATGGAAGAAATTACATTTCATACTGCATACTGCTATAGTTGAAACAGCTATTGAATTAGTTAGATGTATCAAACTACTGATATCAATCTCTGATAGACTGGCGTCACCACATCTTCTTATCTAACACTAACAGACATAGCATCATCCTAATGAGTTACTTCAGAAAAAGTGGCCAATTTTAATATATCAATATTTTCATTTGATTGCAAAGATTATGATGAAATTAATCACATCGAAAAAAGAAATCAAAATAATGTCAGATTTGTGTCTCCATCGTCATCAATCTTTAGCTACAGCTGTTAAAGTGACATTGGTAATGAACCGCGACCAAACTAACTCATAAACACATTTTTTATGGTAGTTTACATTAACCTGCTAATGGTCTGTGATGAATCAGGTCATTTGAAAACAGGATTTATGAATGACTAGCTGTTACATATAATTTCACAAAACAGGAAGACTAATTAGTCATGGTACGATTTCTGATACTGAGGTCTGCATTTATTTATAAATCCGTCCTAGTCTCCATTGCTATAGTCCTGTTGTAATTTTATTTGATTTAACATCCTATCAAATAACAGCTTTCCTAGAAATGGAGTAAAAGTCAGAGGATGAATCGTAATATGAGTTACAGTTGATGACAGGATGTACAGAGATATGGGTGTAAACTAGAGACTTACACCAGACGTGTAGTAATGTATGACATGACGTAGTAGTGAGAGTGGGCCACATCCTGGAGAGGCAGAGATGTGTAGTGCAGATGCTGAGGGGTTACATGATACTGTGTCACAAATTTCTTACCTCTTTTTTGAGGGGACATTTTTAGCCTCTTTGACCCAGAGCTTGAGGGAGTTACAGATGCTGAGGGGTTACATGATACTGTGTCACAAATTCCTTACCTCTTTTTTGAGGGGACATTTTTAGCCTCTTTGACCCAGAGTTTGAGGGAGTTGTCTGTTCTTCTAACATTGTCCTGGTTTGGCTGGACCGTCTTCCTCAGACTGTAAAACATAAAACATAACTCTGATATCAATACTGCCTACTTTAGAGCGTCATAAAACATAACAGATTCACACATATCATAAACATTTGTTTTAGTACCTTATCAACCTTATCCTAATAGCACTATGTATAACCCTCACCTTGTAACATAAGGTTTATCGCAGGTTTAACGAGTATGATTACTGTCAGTAATCTTTGTCAGTATTGAGGACGGAATGACCTATGTTGAAAAATTGTTTTCAGTACTTAGAATGAACTAGGAAGTTAGCTATATATATATAGACTCATCGTCAACCTCATCAGATGCCATATCTCCATCAGACTACACTTAGTAATGTGTCTGTTGATCATGCAGGACCAGGGAAGGAACTTACAACAAGCCTACTTCGTTCTAGTCAGGATAACGTCACTACAAGTACTTTTGTCAACAGTCTAAGGGGAACAGACTGGGAGATTGAAGTCACAGTGACCGAACTGGGGTATAAGTGACCAGACACTGTCAGGGGTACTTTGGTCCTTACAAGTGTCTGTATCTGCTGAAGGTTTAGACTGAGAGCAGACAATCAAGACCTTTTCAGACACAGACTGGCTGGTAGCCAGACCAGACATAGAACCATGTGTGAAAGCCCACAATATTACCTGTGGGATAAGGAGGAGGAGATGTTATCTGTGAGCTAACAGTCAGAATCACATACACTTACCACTAACGAGGCACCCAAAACACAGCACAATCAGCTTAACACTTGTGTAACACATGCTAGAGAAGAAAACGCTCCTGTGATCTGGATTCCAGGGTCCAAATATCCTCTTTTATTGTTCTTTTGTTGGTGGATTGTTAAGATTAATGTGATAAAGTAGAGATATTATCAAGTCATGTATTATGTTCAAGATGATGTTTGCAGAAAACAAAATCTTCTTTATCTAGCTCTCTTTGTTGGTTGTTATATTCCAGTAAGGAATCGCTGGAATTCTTAATAGGATCAGTAATGGTCTAGAGGATGGTAAGGATTGCGTTTTAACAATAGAGCCTTTCACTGACCCCACTTACCAAAACCTATATATCATGGGTAATACTCAGGCAATTTTAATTTTTCTGTATTCAAGTAAAGAAATCTCCTGTATACCTAAGTATTAAGATTCGACTGTTTATATTACTCATTGCAAAACGATGCAATGATTACAAATGTCCCCATATAAAGCCATTAATTTTAACCCTTTCTGATGGATGGAGAATTTTCCGTTTTTTATCGTTCAGTTAAGTAGTTTTTAATGGCGGAGTGAATGTTTCCGATTGGTTTACCGATAAATTTACGGCTACGTAGATATTTAACCCCTACATAACAAACTTTAGCCTCTAATATATGATTTATTGTTAGATGGACATATTTCCCATTTACTGAAAACAACCAATGCCATCAGCCCAATAAGGACGGATTGATTTACAGATATACTTTGTATGTTATTTGTACTGATGTAGGCCATACACACAGCTAGGATGGGATTTACTGTAGGATCAGTATCTATGGACATGAACAGCTTAAATATGTATGTAGTCTATTCTAGCAGTTATTAGGTTTGCGAGTTTGAAATTCTTTTAGGAACTTTGATAAAATTTGAACATTTTGTAATAGTGGGATTACCACTGCATCCTTGGGGTCAAATACTGATGGGACAACCACCCTTACAAGGTTCTGATCTACTGACAGATAACCCAGTTTCTGAACACTAGACTTTTACCATGTCAAATAAAGTCATGGTGCATGATAAAGAGGTCGTTTTATTTTCGGGCTTTTCACCCTTTAATTATGAAGGCACCAATTGCATTTTTTGTATATTGTTCTCTGTTGCATATTTTCGGGGTAAGTCAATTCATCCATACGCTAATCTGATAATGTGCTATATGTTTAAGGTATTACAGGATCTCAAAGGTGTCAAACCACTATATTTCAACTGGAACATAATTTTTGGTTTTACCTCGATAACTTCAGGATGTTTTTCAGTTACCGGGTAGTGTATTTCCCTGTTTATGAGTGAACCACATGTATTTACTATCCAGATATCTACGTTTTTATTTGCAAGACGTTTAAGTTTGTTTGAATTGAGTGGGAGGATGGATTTCCGTTACAGTGCTGTCTGTAGAACGTGCCGAAGATTAACCTCCTACGAATGCAAACAAAATGTAGGAGCTTATCACAGGTAGTGTAGGCCAAGGCTGATAAACGGACATATGGCAAATATGCTGGATTTATTAAAAGGTTGATAAGCTAAATCTCATGATAAGTATCATCCAGTCTGCCATTGTATTCTGATGTCCCTGAACTACGACTTACTACAAACTCATGCATACAGAATTATGACACTCTCATATATAATTAATTAATGTTCACACAATCAGAGGGTTCATTCATGCTGATGAATTCATTAACAAATTCCTCTCACTCTCTGAACAGTCAGATGTCATGTTCCCATGACAACCAGTATCTATAATAACAGTGGCGTTATGTCGTTGTGGCGATGGGTGTGTTTGTGAAAGGTAAAACTGTTTAAGTATTGTCTGGGTGTAGAGGTAGATAGGTGGATTTGTAACAATAATATAACAAGTATATTAAAGGTGTCTGTGTATAATATCCCAGATTAGCCTGTCAGTGTAACACATGATAGTCAAATAACATACAAACACATCAGGAAAGTGTTAGATGACGGATCAAATATCCTTCTCCCAACAGAAAGTATCTACTCCCTATTCTGATAAATTTGTCCCGTCAAACTTCAAATGTATCTTTAACAGGAAATGTAGTAAATATTGACATAGAATTAACACATATGTTGCTACCTTGTCAGATTACCTCGACTTTGTGAACCTGTTAGTATCTCAGCACAGCTAGGTAAGATAGAATTACCCTAGTAACACCCTAGCATCACAAACTCTAAATCTTGACCTGAATTTAGGATAGCAAAGATACTGCCATACTTCAGTTGGTATAAAAACACATCCACTTAAATTATGGCAGTCTCGTCAAAACACTGGCGATTATTATAACTCAGCATTCTAACTCCTAAATAAAATAAACTTTTGATGGTTAATAATGACAAACAATTTTTATATTTGTCATCAGACAATTACAAGAGTAAAACAAATATGAAACAACATTCTGTTGTTATAGGTAGAATACCGTAACTATAAAGGATGTAGAAGCTGTAACAAACAGCAATAAGTGGTCTACGTACCTGCCGAGCCATTTCTCCCGTTCCTCCGCTGTACGACAGGAGATGTATTTACTGCCATTTGAGGTGGCCAATTGGAAGCAGTGGTCCTGTCCCAGAATACTGCTGTGTAGGGGCTTAATGTCCAGCTCCTGGGACGCCAGGTCAATTGAGTGCATTGTCACTGAGTTGGTCAGTAAAGACTCATGGGAGCGAGATGATCGGATGCGAGAGTTGATGATGGACCTGAAAGGATACACAAGAACACCGACCCATAAGTCCAGTTTACTACGCCAGTCGAATGGTACACTCATAAATCTCTGAAACGAAGGCACTGTCCTCGCACCATTCCTCTGTCTACCACAGGCTGGCATTGTCTGCACAGTGTTTTTATTCCTGTCAAACGGCATTTTCTTTCATCGATATTCAGTACGCTGAAGGTAATACTTTATGGTGGTATATACCAGGAAGTATTTCCTAGTGTGTCATTGTTTGTCAGTTAACAAAAATGTCAAATCCGGTCAACAAACAATGTGCGTGTCAATTTTCATCTAAGCATTTACCAAATATAACACATTTCTTCAATTTCAGATGCCTTTACATTTCTGATACGCAACACAATTGACATCTCTACAGAAACATGTTCATAGTGTGCCTCGGCAACACTTAACATTACAGGTAATGAAAGCAGGTTTTATAGAAAACTCTATAGTATTGGTAATAACTTCAGGGCTGAAGGTTTCCTTTCAATATCACACCATTGTCATGGTTAACAGTTAAACACCACTTTAAATTCTCCACAACGTTACACAAAATGAGTCCTTTTCATCAAATTTTATCCTTTCATCAAATTTCCGGTGTTAAAAATTGTAGGCCTTTCACGGGACGAGAAATTATTTCATGAATACATGATGAAACTGTTGCATGAATGAAATATTCCCTGAAATAGGTAGATTGTAACTCCAGTATATAGTATATGAAGGTCTTTTACAACATGTCCAATAGAAAAGTTCTGTTGCCTAGTCAGGGTAACTCACTCCATCACAATATTGAAGACTCACGAAACTGGTCAACATGCAGTCTGGCCTAACCTGGTCAACACTTCACACCAGTTTTGGCTCAAGAGGAGTAAGTCTTTGGGTAATATCTTGTATAAGAAGATTATGGATGTTATCACATCCATAAGTCAAGTATAACCCCGGTAGTCATGGCCTCAACACTACAGCTACATTAGTCAAAATCTGACAATTGACGCGATGGCCTAAACTCTCCACAGTTTAGTTACAGACACTGTCACCTGTCCTGGCCGTTAATGTCTACCAAAATGCAAGATTTAGGCCTAGTGATGACCACTGGAGACTCGGAACATGACTTTGTTGGGACAGTCAAGGTGTCTGGCTGTTCCACCATCAGATGAGTAATGCCTTACACAAATACTGTCAGTCCTCACTCCATGTACACATGTCACCGGATGTACTTAGAATAGAACATAGACATTAGCCGTTATCCAATCTCAGGTGAAAATACAGGTAACAGATTCACAGGTAACCGTATAGAGTCATTACAAGTGAACATTCATATGAACATAAGCCATATCTATAATCGGAGATGACATTCTACCTAGTGTGCAGCTGTCTGTCTACAGATCAATGTCTCAAGATCTGCACAGGTACCAGCTCCACACCTGTACCTATATGATAGGTGTGAAATCCCAAGGTGAGATAAGCCGTCAGAATTAATCAAAAGACACATTGAGATACATATCATTTAAATGTTCATTGCACATCAAAAATATGTAGCATCAAAGCTATGATTTCCAAGTATTCCCAGTAAATGTGAAATGTTACTGACTTGGGGCTGTAGCCTGTTAGTGTGAACTGTGTTTATACATATAAATGATCTGATTGTAACAACACGAATATCAAATCAGATGTCACGCTCATTAGCAGCAGCCAAACATGAACACTGTTAAAAATTTCTCAGGTCTCCTCCATATTATCATCTCGTGTGTTTGGTGGGTTTGTCCCCCCTATCTCGGGTAGGAGGATTCGATGTGTATGACAGTCGCAGCTATAGATTATTTATACATGTACCTTTATACACCTGGCAGCTGTTGTAATTATGTCATTATTTATACATGCGTTACTAATAACATACACCATTATATGTGTCTGTACACACTTAACTGCCGATATTTACTTCCTTTGCCGGTAAATTATAAATGTCAGGTAAATCATTGGATGCTTTTGTAGTAGGTGGGTGTGACATCATACAGTAGATATATACATGAGGTATATAATTCTATCATCTATATAGGTGTCAGAAAGACCCTACATACTAGGTCTGGTTTCATTTCTGACCATAATCCTATACCATGGCATGGCTCCAAGTCATCCAGGAAGATCATATTGTAATTCCCACAAACGCCCACGACTTCTGTTTGATGAGTGTGGACACCAAGTCAAAAAAGTATATATTGGTGTATCTGTAACACTTTGATGGTCCTTCTCAACACCTCATGTAGAACATAAAATCAGGGTTACCTGCCCTTGCTTCTTCAAACATCCCACATCAAGTCGATAGGTGTAAATATGAAGTCAACAACCATTCCAGTGTTATTCTTCAACAATACACAGCACAGGTAATCACAAACATTTGATTTCACCTTTTCCAAGTGAGTTTTGACAGAACTTCTATCTGACCTGGTCTTGATGTACTGCTGGGTTGCAGAGGTTACCACCTACACTACCAGAATGTACCACAGGCTGGCTGGGCAATCCCAGATGGACTCCATATTATAAACAGTTTTATCACACAAGTCAAGTGGAAAACCATTTCCCCTGGTCATACATCCTTATTATATATACAATGGAGGGTTCCCACATAACCAACATGGCCCACTTCGAAACAGCAACATCAATATTACTCCAATAACTTGTAAATAACTGGCCTCTGTCCTGTTTTAAATGTTCAAATCTTCGTGACTTTTGATATTCAAGCTGTCATCTCGAAACTGTTTCTAATACTGGAAAATTATTAATTCTCCTTCTTTTAAAACAGTTTGCTACGTTCTGATAGGTCCATGCAAAAATATTTGTCACTATTTCGAATAATTCAGTACAATCTTCTTTATGTACAGAATCGTTCATAAGACACTTCCTCCTCGACTGTGAATCAAATAATGTCCGATTAAACCTACAAATGTATACATCCAGCTCCTGTCAAAACACAACTGTGTCAATATTTCTCCCGTAAAATCTATGAACCATGATGATTCATTGTTGATTTCCTTTCATCTTCTCAAGTCATTAGTTCTGTAGTATATCCGATTATACATGTTTCATTCATTCATATTAAGCACTACATATTCTCAGCACATTTCCAGTTGTGGGATACCTCTCCCTTGAGTCCTCCAGTCACACATCCCTGTACTTGTGTATACAGTAGTCAAAAGTTGTATGACCCCAATATTCTGAGGTACACGATTCATGTACCAACCTTCATGAGTCAATATAACTCTATGATCATGTACCGACCTTCATGAGTCAATATCACTCTATGATCATGTACCAACCTTCATGAGTCAATATCACTCTATGAGCTTACTAAGTAGACCAATGTGTGTCACTATTTCTCCCTTGTTGTGTTGAAATGTAGGATTGTGTTCCCCCTCCCTCAGTTTGCATGTGCATTACACGAGGGTATGATACATGTGTACTCCCAGTACACTACCTCCCCAGACAGCTGATAGGGGAGCGTTGTATACTTAGCTAAGTACATGTCATACACACTAATACTTCTAGCCTTTCTCCTGTCATATCCATCCCAGAAAATATGTCCACAAAAACCACAAAATACACACATGTGATGCCCTCATGTTCAAAAACATCCAAAAGCATTACCATGGAGACATTAAAATTAGTATTATCAGTAAGGATATGGTGTGGGGATCTGGGTGGGAGATTACAGTGAGATACTGATCACTGAAATATGTGTCTCTTGTTTTACCCTGATTATAACAATGATCAGAGCACCAAGTGGGATTTGAAGGGTTTCACAATCTCATCACACATGTTGACAATGACGTCAACCCTTACCTTCTTACTGCCATGGTTAAAAGTCCTCAGAGTATGAAGATTGAGCTGATGGAATGTCTTTTAAAATAACCATCTCAATACAATCCAGTAAAAAAACCAGTTTTTAACAATGCCACTGTATTTTTGGATAGCAATATAACCAAAATAGCTGCCAATATACAGATCAGAAGGAAGACAGAAATGCTGAGGAGTCCCCCACTGTCATCTACATGTACAGCTCGTACAGACCAAATATAGAAACAGCCATGCTAAAAATGGGATCATTTAGCTATCATAGTCTGCAGTGTTTATAGACATATGTTGCCATGATAGATATTGAAAATATGATTCAAATACTGAAAATGAACAACATATTAAGTATGAATGAAACTGCTGTGTTACTATGGTAACACCAATTTGCTAGAACTCCATGATTAGCACCCACTTAAGTCAAAGTCTTGCCATATAAATATAAAGGTAGGGTATATCAAGTGGATCCAGGTGGACCGTCCAGAATATTCTGGTGACAAGACTACTTAATTAACATAAATTACGATGTATTACCTACAAGTACACATAGCCTCAGATTTAAATTACAAACAACAGGTTGTGATTGGTTAGATTCAAATTCAAGTCAATGTTACTGATAACAGGGGATCATGTCAGAGTTCTGAGTACACTTGTGTGATGCCCAGATGAGATAAAAACTCCTTGAATTCTTCCCCCTCCCAACCTTCCCTTCCCCCTCCCCACATCTCCCCTATAAGTAAACAGATCGTGTCTAGAACATGCAGTCTTACAAACATTGAACAGGTTTCAATATGTAGGTATTGGTTATCTACCTTTTTCATATTATATGATAATGTTATCTAATATATATCTATAATGTTATGCAAAAGTACTATGCATCAAAAATGGCAGTGTGTGCTGGTCTAGTGTTTACTGGAGGATAGTTGTCGTGTGCTGGTCTAGTGTTTACTGGAGGATAGTTGTCGTGTGCTGGTCTAGTGTTTACTGGAGGACAGTTGTCGTGTGCTGGTCTAGTGTTTACTGGAGGACAGTTGTCGTGTGCTGGTCTAGTGTTTACTGGAGGACAGTTGTCGTGTGCTGGTCTAGTGTTTACTGGAGGACAGTTGTCGTGTGCTGGTCTAGTGTTTACTGGAGGACAGT